GCCGCTCGAGTTTGCCTATACTTAAGAAACAACCACCGAGTCCGGTGTTGGAATAAGGTTTATGATCTGCCTCACAAAACTGAAGATTTGGTAGCTTTATAACCGAAAGACTGCGGACTTTCTCACCTCTTAGTCTCATTTTCTTTGGTATCATTTCCCTTGGTCTTAATTAATTTCGTTCAAGGATACCCAAAATCCAGATTATATCCATGATATTAAAGGATACAGATGACTCCAGCTAATACTAAGCGGTAAAACAAATTGTCCAAGAGCCTAAGTGTAACTAGAATAATTTAAAATAATTTCTCTAGAAAACGATGATTCTAATTATGTAATATGTGTATTAACTTCGTTCGTTATTATTTTCGTTGTGAGGCTTATCCAGTAATTAGCTTCTTATTCAATGTCTTTACATAACTCAACCAGCTTAAGTAAAAAATCTCTTTATTTTTCAGATTGGAATCTAGAGCATGATACGTGATAAATGAGAATCTGCTATTTGCTAAGCGACACAATTTTCAAACAGCGAGAAACACAAAGTGGACTAATCAGGTTATAAGTTAGCTCAATTCTCTATCATGAAGCTCGGTGACTCTATTCCGTAAGGCTTTTTGTGTATTGTTTCGGAGAACCAGTAATACCCCGATTACGTATAGTATAAATTATGGTATTCAGCTTCAAATTGCCCATAAAAAATTAATGCTTTTAGTTTAAGTCCCCATTTTCTTTATAACTTCAACCCGTGCCTATTACCAAGGGCCTTCTTCTAGAGGTTTTAAAACCAGGTTCTATATAACCTTTAATTTGTATTAAAACAAAAAGGCGGTTAGGTGAACCTGGACTTTGACGAGAAACTTTTTTATGTCAGTTATTCACACGGATCTTGTTCGCCGAGAGAACTGTTGATAGAAATATCTTTTACTTACGTATCAAAGTTCCCCACCCATACTCCTCGGAGAAGTAGTAAACACGACTAATGTCAAGGAACTCGACTTGACAAGGAAGCTGAATAATACACTTTTTTTTGTATTGTATAACTACTTTCAACAATAAAAATTTGGTATTCATATTATATGCTTAGGAATTGTTATTTTATGGTTATTGACTAAATTTTCATGAATAAAGTTTGTTTTACTATTGCTTTAAGGTTTTGTGTCAAAACTTAAAAAAAAATTAATACAAATCATGAATATATAATATTAAAGCATTTAAACTATCTACTTAAAAGATCTAAAAATCTGTTGACCAAGACGGCATTACAACAAAGACAAAAAGGAAACAACAAAAAATATAATATTTAAGACAGCAAAGCAATCGAGAGCAGCTCATTAGAGCTACAAATAATTTGAAGCAAGTGAATTAATTTAAATAGATGAAGAAGACACAGAAAGACAAAGCCAAACAAAGGAATGAGGGTAAATATTGAACGTGAATAAATACCAAAGAAATAGAAAATGGAAACAAAAAAAATTTAAAATTTTTTTTTGTAAATTCAAATTATCGCATGACAACAATTAAGGCAGGTAAATGGTGCGTGAGTTCCTAAACACATGCTATATATACATAAATAAAGAATTTTCAAAAATCTTTTCTATACGGTGTTTTTTTTTTTTTGTTTATTTTGATAAAAACTAAAATTATTTCATTTTTGCTTTTAATTATGGAGCAGAGGATTAAAATGATTTCTTCATGTATTTTTTCACTTAATAATCACACTTGTGTGCTAGAAAAATTAATTTTTTTCAAAAGAAAAAATTTAGAATTAATAAAAAAAAGAAATATTGCCAATTAATACAGTAAATAGATTTGCTGTTAATTTTAGTGTTCGCTGCAAAATGCTTTTTGCTTTTATTTTACCGAAGTTTATATTTTTGGAAAACAAATTGTCAAATAAATTTTAAATCAAGTGATTTAGTGGTGACTAATTGGATGAAAATCGACTTTTTCCTCTTAGTTTTTTCCTTTGGAGCTTATAAATTTTATGTAAAAATATTTTGCCCAAGTTTTTGGATTACAGTGCACTCACTAAGTTGTAGATCCGAACAACTTGTCAGCATTTTTCGCAAGTTTCAAGGTATATATAAGTATGGTACATATTCCTATAAATATTTTATGTATTTTGCCTATGCATATTTAGATTATTTTACTTAGCGGGCTTAAGCGCCCAAACGCCTTCTAATAAAGTATAATTTATGATCATTATTATAATAAGCCAGAAAAAAATATTTTAGTACTAAATTATTTAAAAACTGAAAATTAAAAACATTTAGCACCTCAAAGTTGATACTTTCAGAAAAGAACCATTAAAAAATGTTATAAGGAAAGAGTGGATTAATGATGTTCAAGAACTAAAATTTTCGGCCATATGGCAATAAATCCCTTTAAAACTCACAAGTTTTATATTTTTCTTTTTCTTTTAAATAGGTACAGCAATGCGAATGGCCGCAATGTCGTTTCCTCGCTAACACCTTCCATAATAATAATATAATAATAATTGGTCTTTCTAGCGCAGGAAAGCTTTCTTCCCTTAAAAGAAGAGACATTTCTTCTTCTTGTACTACCAGCTAGTGTGCATTGAATACTATGAGGGGTAGTCTCCAGACTGGATTTCATATATATACCATACTTATGTCATTATTTCATTATATTCAATGTTCGTATGTTGGTCTCATTTCTTGTAACTTGAGTAATCTCATCATTATCCTCATTTCGCACATTATGCTTAGGGTATAGGGACTTTGCTATTCTAGCTTTGTTTTTCCTAAAGCCAAACATATATGATGTAATCTGAATCATTTTTAGAATGCGTACCGAACTACTGAAGAATTTTCAAACAATGATACTTAGCCGTTACTTGAGAAATTTTAATGTCTAGAGATTAATTTGTCAATACATCTGAGTTTCTTATCGGAATTTCCAACTGTACTGTATGAAAGTCAAGTACATATATCAAATCCAAGAGTGTGGTTTTGACCAGTCGAAATTGCTCACAAAAATGGTAATGGCGGAAATTAGCGGTAGCGCGTTGAATAGCACTTAAAGTACTGTTATAAAAATATTCATAAATTTTTATTGAAAAATTTTCTTAGCAACAAAATTCTGAAGACAAACATACAAGTTCTTCTAGAAGTTTTGGGCTATAAAAATATCAATTCATATAGATATACGTACAAATGTATATACCAGTTTTTTTATGCCATGCTTCCTAACTGTTAACATATTACCTGAACAGTTACGGGCTGAGCTATTTTTAAGCTACTTTCAAACACTTGTTTAAATTTTGATAATTCTACATGAATAGACAACAACTCACAGCTCAGTTTATACATACATACATATATGCAGATGTACAAACAAATGGCAGTAAAGTACTATTTAACCCAGTTTGACCACTTTTTTTACACTTTGATGATTGGTTTCGCTTTGGTCGCCTCGAGGTGTCACACATATTAGGTGAGAGAAGTAAGCCACAAGGGCGTAAAACATAAACCAAATGTTTTCGACTATTAACTTTAAAACAATAAACTTGACGAAAATATTAACTAAAGCAATAAATGAGTTAACAAAAATAATAAACACCAAATTCGTTTGGCAAACAGTAAACTCAAATAATAAAATAAATAGTCCCAAGTGTTGAGAGAGACACAAACCTTTGAGGCTGCTGAACAAAAATTACGAACGGTCTAAAAGAAATAACGGCACTTGAATATAGAATATAATAGTTACCTTGTCGTATTCTGATTAGTAAGTCATCTTTAGCAATACTACTAAAATACTTTATTAAGGGCTCAGAGTACAGCCTACTGAGGTTTCTCTTGAAATTTCTTACAATGTTAAATCTTAGAGATATGGAATATGAATTCGAACTTGACTGTGTATTAAGAGGTCTTAGAGAATATTCTTATTGGTACACAGCTAACATTGTTATTGGCTTTTTAATATATTAGCTTTAATTTATTTCCAACTCGACTGGTTCTCGTATGCTCTCTACCAGTATTTTTCATTATTGTAAATTTTATATACCTCTGTAATACGAAGAAAAAATATTTTCTACCACGATTTTTTATGATCATAATTGTATCCTAGCAAAACTGTCTGCTCTGTACAGGACCAGACAATTATCTTTTACTAAAACAAAATTACAAGAAAAGGAAAATATAAAGTCTGATTATTCATGTGATACCACTATATACAGGTTAGGTAAAGAGGTCGATCCTAACAGGAATCTCACTTGGACAGCTTAGAACGCCGGTCCGTTATGGTGCCTAAAACTTCTATATATTAGATCATAAAACCTTTATAAATCGACAACGTGCCGCTATGTCTCCTGGTTCGCCAAAGGTAAGACTGCTGAGAGTCAGTCTTGCAAGGGCTAGACAATGGAGAAAAGAGTGCCAGGATGTTTCCACCTCACACTCCTAAATATAACTTTAACAACTTGCCTCCGACCAAATTTTTAGTCTTACCGCATTAATACGATTGCGGCAAGCTAAACTTTGTAAATGGTAAGTAATAGTGCTAGAAAACAAGACTTTTTTCTTCTGTACCTTGGACTATATGACAAATGAGTTGATGGTATGTCAGCTAAAGAATTGAGAACAACATTTGCGGGGTTATAGCATCATCTGATAGATTAACAAAAAAAAACTTTTAATCCGTTCTTTTGTGTTCTATATTTTTAAAATTTGAGTATCCTAGAGCTTACAGACTGTCTTGCTGAGAACTTCTAGCCTACGATCTACTGAGTTATTAGACTACACTAATCGTCATCTGGGAGCCAACAGTAAGTTGCCGGTGTATCTGCACACATAAAGTACAAAATTTATTTTATAACTTTGGAATGTGACAGAACGAATGGTGAAATCATTTCATGGGCCCGCTACTTTACGCCGATATTCTCGGCTTTCGAATTCGAATTAATTTATTCAAATTGACCATTTATGCATATTTCTAGTCTTTCAACGAATACTCTTCATTCTAACAATATTTTATATACATACATACAGACATTTAGACCAAATAATCAGCAGCACATTGTGTTGTAGCACTTGTTTGCATCATCTGAAGCACGTCGTCGTCAAGTCTTCGAACACTTGTCCAGTTTTCGAGGCGGCCAATCGTTTTTCCATTTTGTGTGTGCTTTTTTTTTTGGTATTTTATATGCAGATAAATGTAGCAATCTTTCCGCCTGCTCAGCTGTTGAATTGTTCAGGTGCTCATTTATTTTATCTGTGCATTTATGTGGAGCTTAACCAGCTTTACCGGCTCATTTGTGTGCCGCGGCCTATTAAGTGGCGCGGTCTGAATAATATCAGCTACATATGATACTGTTATATTCTATTTTCTCGTTTATTCGAATTTTTTCAACTTTTTCTTTTTGCCTACGTCAACTTTTCATTGATTGCTCGATTTTTATTTATTATTTTATTATTTTTTTTTGGATTCTTGAACAATGCTTTCAACTTCAAATGTCGGTAAGCCATTTATGGTATTTGTTCATTTGTTTAAATATCCACAAGTAGCGTTAGGTTTCTAAAACTTTTTGTTAAACCTAACTTTTTTTTTTCTTCGGCTTTGATTACTCGAATTCAAAATGATCGCCCCTTTCGAAATTATTTTTATCCAAACGGTTCTTTCCACTTGACACTTTTTTCTGTTAGCTTCAAGCCATTATATTAATATGAATGAAGGAGATCAATAATTTGTTAGGTCTGAACGTTTTTAACTGTCTTAAACAGAGCACGTCGGTTTTTCTTCTGATTGGAAATAAACGGTTTTCTATTGGAAACCTTAAAAATAATAAGAAGAGTAAACTCTCTTCACTGAAGCCGCTGGAGTTAAAAAATCAAATCAAAGTATATATTTCTCGAACAATCCAAAAGTTATCTCATCTCGCTTCAGTTTGTTAGCAGCTTAGCGCTTGTATTATAACCACCTATTTTTGATTAAAGTGTCTTAGAAGCACCAAATTTGCACATCGTTGCATTTATAAGAGCATCACAATCTACAAAGTATCACTTTTTCATCAAAGTACACCTCATCCAAATCTTGCAGAATTGTATTTTAGAATCTTCTTCACATACCATTTCTGCTATTTAAGTGGTCCTCCTTGAAACTTGCTTAATCAGAAATATTTTTGACTGGAGCTTAAGGCGATCCTTCATTGCTTCCTACGCGGTGTGAGTGAGCACTTCGAGTTTCAGATAGAGTAACTAGTGTACTTGTACTAGTAGAAATATAAAAGAATTTATGGTAGAAGAATTTCATTTTTTGCAGTCATTCTTGCCTTACAAATATAAGCTCAACCAATATAGTTATCGAACAAAATTCAAAATGAAATTCTAGCATCATAATTTTATCTTAAATCGATCGAGGTTAATTTATGCGTTTAAATATACATAGGGTAAAGGAATATTTACCATATTTGGGAAAAATATAGCAATCATTATCAACTGTCCATTTTCATTTTATATTGTTGATATACATGCCCCGAAATTTCCGAACTGTCCTTCATTTTGGTTTATGTGTTACAACAAACGATGATCATTTAATATTTTCAGAAACAATATTACAACACTTAAGCTTATCGATATTTATTTTTCTATTTTATTGCTCTTTTTGGTATAGGAATACTGCGTTTTCCGCATTGAGGAAAATTTTAAAAAGGAAATTGTAATCAGTCCATAGATTTTATAAAATTTAAAACTCGTGGCACTTTGAGTCGATCGATCATGACTTACCAGAAAATAATTCAATTGCATATGTTTTAAATTTATCTGCCATTCAGAGTGTATCGATATTTAAAAATCGAAATATTTTTAAATTTATTTTTGCTATCTTCTCCAACTAAACAACAGCTCTGAGTCATACACGGCGAAAAAACATAGCCATTCGCTCATAAATAAGAAAAATTTCGGCATAAATACAAAAATATTAGAAAACATTTTAAAAATAGCTTTAAAGCTCATACCAATAAAATACATATAATATATAAAAATATTTTTATATGACACAATAGCAAACACAATAAACAAAAACAAGAAAAAAAACAGAAATTACAAAAAATATATATATTGAAAGCAATGAAATTAACCTCAAATCAAGGAACATTAAAATCAAGCGTCACGTGGAACAATGCGCAAAAAGTGGGCGTAGAATTAGTGGCAAGTAAGCGAAGAATGAAGATGAGCCAGTTGCTAAGAAAACGTAGGATGGAAGAAAACTGACGTCAAATATTGCATATACACATATTTATCTACACACACAAATATATATTTATGACAACTTTTCAGGTTGTATTTATTGTTATTGCTTTTTTTTTTAATTTCTGTTTTGGAAAAACTATTAATGACAACGCTGTTATTGTTGTTGCATTTTTCAACAATATTAAGTACGAGTATGAAACGCTTAATATTTCTATTTTTAAATATACATATTTTTTTAACTCTTTTTGTATTTTGTTTTTGATATTTTTGTTGTGTTGTTAATTTATTATATTATAATGTTTAAAAATTTCGGTTTAATTTTTTTTAACAATTTCCGCTATTATTATTTTTTAAGTTTCCAAGTTTGCCGTTTGACATTTTTCGATATTTATTATATAAAATTTTTTGACCGTTGTAGGTGGAGTTTTATGTGTTATGTTATTTATGTGCGTATACCTTAGAAAATATTTTTGTTGCGTGGTCATGTGTTAGCTCTTGTTTCTTCCGAGATTGCTTAAATAAATATGCGTGACATTTTCATTTGGAATTCTTTCCAATTTTTATTTTAGTTTTAACACGCGCAATCTTATTTAAACTTTATTTAATTTGTTGTTGTACTCATTTTTTTTTAATTCCTTTTTTATTAATGTAATTTATTGGATTTATGAAGGCTTTATGTGTTTTCAGATTTAATTATTAGTTGTATTTTTTAACCTTGCCACAACATGCTTTGTGGGTGTTGAGGAATTTAAAACAAATAATTTAATATGAAAAGTTTTAATGATATTTATATTAAATTTAAAATTTTTTTAATTGTTTTCGTTATCTATATTTACAATCTATTTACTTATGCAAGGTGAAAATGTTGCTCTAATTTTCGAGAAAATAAACTTTTATTTTTTTTTCTAAGTGTAATGAATGGTTTCACAATTGTTTTGTTCTTTTATTTCGAAAAGGATATTTTATAACATGCAAGATTTTAAGAACTATTAAAAATTTCGTCGTATAAGCGAAATTCAAAGTAAAATGATAATATAATCTGTTACGATAGATTTTTTTTAAACATAGTCTTCTTTTAGGCGATATTACCAGATATCAACTCGTTGAGCAAATATCCACTATGGAATGTCGCAAAGTGTTTCCTTAACCAACTTTTACATTTCTTTTAAATTTTTAACTGAATTGGTTTACAAAGATAGCTCCTAAATGTAGGCAATAACAAAGTATATTTTATATTGTTTTACTGCAAAGCCTGCTTTGCTCACTGCTTGTTACACCCTGAACAGGGTAAATTAAGTTTGCCACGAAGTTTGTAGCACCTAGAATTAAACGTCCGAGGCCCTATAAAATATTGCTATAATTTATAAATGATCAGCATAACGAGCTGAGCTGATGTAACCATGTCCGTGTGTCTGTATATACGCGAGTCCCTCAGTTTTCGAGATATCGGTCTGAAGTTTTACACACGTTTTTTTCTCCCCAAGAAGCTGATCATTTATCGGAACCGCCGATATCTGAGCACTATAGCATATAACTGCCATAAAAACTAACCGGTCCAACTCAAATCCTCGGTTGCAAAATTCTTTTATTTGACAAGGTATCTTCACGAAATTTGGCGCAGATTATTATCCAATACATTGCTATAATCTTCGAACAAATTGTTCAGATCGAACAACTATAGCATATAGTTGTCATACAAACTGAACAATCGAACTACAGTCTTTGTATGGAAAACTTTTTTATTTCACGAGATATCTTCATGAAATTTGTCACGCATAATCTTTTAAGACAGCGATAGAATCTTCGAAGAAATTGTTGAGATCTTCTATATCAAATAGCTGCCATACAAACTGTCCAATAAAAATCAAGTTCTTGTATGGAATCATTTTTATTTGTGAAGGGTGTTTTAGCTACGGTGCAACCGAAGTTAACGTTTTTTTTGTTTTTAATCTCTTGCAAATAATTTTGAAGCTTGAGCGTTGGTTGTAATAAAGAAATCGATATTTGTCAATCAGACTTTTTTTTATTTAATAGAAGTAAAATTAATCCAGTAAAAAATATACTTTTTATCATGGATAGTTATTCTAAAATTGAAATTAATTGATATTTCCCAAACTTGATTAAAATTTCCGTTTTCAATACTTTACTAAGCTTATTATAAATATATCAGTGTGGTATGCCGGTGATATTTAAACAATTTAAAATTTATTATAAAAAATTAGCGTATATATAGGAATAAAAGTTTTATAAACATCTTTCAATATGCTTTTTAATTAATTTGAGACCTACATATTAAAATTTTATATTAACTTAAAATTATTTTAAAAAACTTGAAACCTAATAAAACATTTTTTTAATATAAATGAAAACATGTTATATTTTATTACAAAAAATTTTTATATATTAAAATTTTAATAAAAACTAGACCAATTGTGATTCAATATAGCCGTTTCAAAAGAAATTAAGTCAAATTATTATTATACTTACCAATAAAATTTCACTTGAGATATTTTTGATGTTGTCAGAATTTTTTGAATTGTTTTTTTTTTTTGTTCATTGTAATTGGTAGAATGGTTTATTTTAAACAAAATTAAGAGTACCAAAATATGTATTTTAATTTATGTAAAAGTTTTTAATTTTACTTTTATATATTTTGTATATTAAATTTTTTATTTTGTACATATTTGTTCATATATTTTTGGTATATTTCTATCCTTATTTTTTTTTATATATTATTATTTTTTGTTTAATAAATTTATTAAGTGTTTTTCATATTACATATCTTTTAACATATATTTCAAAAAATTTTTTTTTTGAAATTATTTTTGCCACAAATGTGTACCCACAAATATGTTGGTGTGCTTCTCAAAATTGTACTTTCCGCGGATTATGTTGTCGTCATGCCGACATTGCTAGACACACGAGAAAATTCCGTCTCCAAAGCCGCATTGAAATTTACGAAATGATTTACGGCGAAAAGCTTAACGCAGCCAAACACTTTATATATTTTTCGAATTTTTACTTCATTTTTCCAAACCTAAAAAATATTCAACACATTAAAAATTACGGCTATTTTTCACCACCTTCTCGCAGCGTGGCAAATTTGCGACCCACAGCGGCTCTGACAGACAATGCAATTATTGTTGTACCATATTCGCGCCGCTACCATTCTTGTTGCTGTCATTTATAATTCATCATACTTTGGTAGTTGTTTTTGTATCTTTTTAT